AAATAAAAAACCTGCTATCATTATAGTATTTGTAGATAAAGAAAAGAGATGCAACTTTACAAATTCAGGACATTAATCTAAGCTTAACAGATAAACCAGGTTTAAATATATATTTACCATGCCCTTTTGGACATTGCTTAAGAGTTAGAAGTTTGTTATTCAGGTATAAGAATGTATAAGGTGTATCAGGTATTATCAGGTGTAAGAATGTATAAGGTACGTCAGGTATCATCAGGTATAAGAGTGTTAATTCTATTGCAATGTCTATTGCAATAGATTTGACATTCTTATGCAGTAAGTAGCTAAATTTTTTTTGTGGATTTTGATTTGAGTTAATATCCACAAATGATCATGTGGATTATGATGATTTTTGTATATAAATAAACATGCATATTTTGTAAAAAATATAACATGAATTTTGAATTTAGAAAATATTCTTAAAGTTGTATGAATGTCTATGCATCCATTGTTTACCCTAAACCGTTACAGAAGATTAATTTCTTGCTATAATAAAAAGACCTTTGTTATCAATAAAAAAAGACGATCACATTAAAGATTAGCTGCTTGTTCTAAATGATAAAAAAGTGAAGAATTTTTTTCAAGGCAAGAATATAAAGTTAAGTTTTAAGCAAATAGAGCCATTTTACATATAAGTTCAGGAAACGAAAATGTGTTGGCCTTCGAGAGTAAATTTATAAATTAATAATCTTTATTAATAATTAATCGTAGGATAGTTAGAGATGTCAGAATGTTTTATAGAGTTTTTATATGTTGGAATCTCTTATTTAGCACTTAATAATAGTTTAGCGAGGATTCAATAAAATTCTGGAGAACACATTTGTAAGACTACGATGGAAATACTGCTTCAAGCCGTAGAAGATTAAAATTGAGAATTGGCTTTAGCATCAAAAGGCGAAGGGATGTCTAACCATGAGTAACTTAACTAACTCAAATGGCAATCAAATTAGAGGAACAGTTTTTTGCAAATAGTTCTGTCTCGAGAAGTTAACATCTGAAATAAGATACATGGTTTAATAAACTAAAAGTATTTGACCTTAGTATTGTCTTTGTACATTAACTTCTTGCAATAATAAAAAGACCTTTGTTATCAATCAAAAAAGATGATAATTGTTTAATATAGCAGTTGCACATATAACTAGAATTTTAAATTAAAAAAATATACTTTAGGATGTATGAATGTCTATGCAGCCACGGTCACAAATCAAGAGCTGGCTATTTTTATCAAACCCAGTCCTAGTTTTAGTCAAATTTAGTTTTAGTCAACCTTGGTCTCTTATGGCAACATTAAATTAGTTGAGCGTTTTTTCCAATTTATTCAACTAAATTAGAAAGTCAAAAGTTTTACTCAAGTAAAGGTACTTATGCAGATAAATTAATAAAGAAAAATCTTAATATTTGATTAAACCTAAAAATAAATTAGAAAAGTTTTTTTTATCTACAAATTGTTAAATTTAACTACTTTAGCTACAAATTTTTTTAACTACTAACTTTTTTCGACAATCTATTTAAACGACAAATTGTTTTTATTATTTGTTAATATTGTTATTTTGTTTTATCTTTTTAAATTATATTTATATTGTATTTAATGTTGTAGTAGTAGAACACTTGCTTTTTAGGGAAAAAGTTGACCCTTACTAAATCCATAAAAAAATCTTGTTTTTAGGTATACTGTCTTGCTTAATATATGAGGGATAAAAGCAAAAGTTCGAAAAGAATGATGTGAGAAGAATGGTAAAAATAATAAAATAAAAAAGAAGAGGTCTATAAAGTACAACCTTTAAGGATAGGGGAGGGGAGACGTAATTTACGGAAAAAAGATGAGGGTGCTCCTCAATGTTACTTCTAAACTTTTGAAATCAGAATAATAAATATTCTAAATAAAAAGACATGAAAATCAATTACAATGCAAAAAAGTTAAACAAAAATAAAGTGACTACAAAACAATGATAATTAGAAAGCCTAAAAATAATCATGAGTGTATATAACAGCAAGAGAAATCTATTGTAATGTTATAACAAGGATCTGCAGAGAAATACTATTAAGTAAATACTGCATATATACACCAATGGTAAAATCAGTTTTTTTTTAATGTTAATATACCTTCCCAAGGCCAGGAATGCTACTACAGTCAAAGGAGGCTACATGGCTAATTGTGGTAAGAAACAAGTTGAGCGCGGTAATTAAATAGGCGTGCAGGATCGCACTTTGTAAGTGACCACGTTTATAATACTTTTTTTCACAATTTAAACATGGCGGTTTTAATTTTTTAATTTAAATGCAATAAAAAATTGTTTCTTTATAATTAAACTTTAATGGTTGATCATTTCTAAAGTTTTTATTCTACATGAAGGCTTTAAATAAAATAAAAAAAATAATTATAGCGATTGTTTAAAATAAAAACATTTTGTAGAAATTAACAAATAATGTTATATTTAAATTTTTTTTATGAAGGCACGTTTTTTTTATGATAAACTTAAATATAATAATTTGCTTGAAACTAATTTTCCATATCTTTCTAAAAGTTAAATCTTTTTAAAGATTTTTGACTTTAAACTATGAATAAGTTGAATTAATTTAGTAGCTTTATTTTTTTTTTCATTTCTATTTTTACTAAGAACTGTTATAAACTTTTTTTTTTAACTTGACAAACTAATTAGAGCATGAAATGATAAAAATTAAATAGACTACGGTATTTTTTGATACAATTTTTGCAACTTTTTGGAAAAAATAAATGTTTATTCAATTTAAAAATAATATATAACGCTTTTTAGCTTTTTAGATAAAATGTTCATTGATTGAAGTAAGGCAGAGACAAGTTATATTCATTGAAGAGAAAACCCCAAGTGCCGAGACAAGTTGTATTAATTGATGGGAACCCCAAGTGCCGAGACAAGTTGTATTCATATTTAAGAAAATGTTTAAAAAAAAAATGTTTGTCGAAATTTCTCTCATTAAAACTAAATAATAAATACCTACCAATAAAATTAAGATTTTTATTTTAGTTAAAGCTCGCCCTTCTCCAATTTTTTTTTGAGTCTGTATAATATTAGTCACTATCTGCAGACTTGACGATTTTTTTCATGTGTGTTCAATTTACAACAGTTTTGGTATAAGACGTCATCGAAATTTTTTTTTAAGATATGTTATTTTTTCTGCCACAATTGTCAAATCATGTTTATTTGTATAACTTTTGAATAAATTCCAAAAAAATTTTGTGGTACAATTAAAAATAAAACATTATATATGATTTTAGTTTTTAGGTAGCGCAACTTGTTTCTGCCACAATTGTCAAATCATGTTTATTTGTATAACTTTTGAATAAATTCCAAAAAAATTTTGTGGTACAATTAAAAATAAAACATTATATATGATTTTAGTTTTTAGGTAGCGCAACTTGTTTCTGCCACAATTGTCAAATCATGTTTATTTGTATAACTTTTGAATAAATTCCAAAAAAATTTTGTGGTACAATTAAAAATAAAACATTATATATGATTTTAGTTTTTAGGTAGCGCAACTTGTTTTAAACAACTGTAGGTATAACTTTTAATCAAAATCTTGTATAAAATAAATAAGATATTTTATATCGAACTTATTTTATAAAATTTTTATTACATTTTTTATCTTTTTGAAGTTTTCAAATGATAAATCTGCAATGATTTAAGTGAAAATCGAAAAGTGGTATAGCATAACACATTTGGTCAATTTTCAAAATTGAGTTTTTAATGTTGAAATTAATTGTCAAAATATAAAAATTATTGCGTTAATTAATAGTAAGCTCTCTTGATCATATACAAGGTATAAATGGTATAAAAAAGAGCACAAAAAGTTCACCTTTTTATTTAATTGAATTGTATATTGAATTTTGTTCATACTTTAAAAATGACAATTTTTGCTGTTATTGGGTGCCGTAGTAATGCAAACACATTGCCGTAGTAATGCAAACACATTGGATTATCATATATTTTCTTATTGATTGTCCTCAGATTTAGTAACTGCATGAAAAAAAGCAATTAGTATATATAAATTTTGATAGTTCATGTTTCACCATGTCAAAAATACAAAAGATGAAAAGAATCATTCCAAAATCAGTACAAGGGCGGATCCATTGTTAGAAAACGGTTATTTTTCAAAAAAGTTGTCTAACTAAATTAGAAAAGCCGTTAAAAAGTAATACAAACTGAATAGTAAAAAAGTAATTTTACTGAAACGTATTTATTAATTTAAGTATAAAGTGAATATAAAACGGAAATTTTATTAAAGAATTATTATCAATATTTAAGAGTTTAATATTTTATGAGGAATTTAATATTTATATAGTTTAAAATTTATTTATTATTTTATTAAGAAATTGTATACTAGTTTTATTAAATATGTGTATGGAGACCTTTGAAGTCTCTCCCATTTGGCAAGAGTTTTCTGAATTTTGAAGAGAAATTAATCTCCAACCTGCATTTGAAAGTAATTTAAAAACTTTCTTTTCCTCATTAGTAACTTAAAATTCACCAAGCTTCTAACTTTTTAAATTGTTTTCATTTTATAAATTAAGAAAAATGGTTAAAGATTGTTAAAAATTGCTCAACACAAACATAAATATATAAAAGTATATCTATACAAAATAAATTTTAGTTCAGTCAGTGTCCAAATTTAGACATTTTTAAGTTAGTTTTCCGAGTAATAAATCATTAAAAAAATTTTTTAGTCAATAGAGGTATTTTAGTGGACACATATCCAGAAGTATAAAATTTTTTCCAAGTCTTCCTTGTAAACATTTTCAAAACATGACAGCTATGTGTATACATATAAAAACTGTATATTCATTTATATATATATATATATATATATATATATATATATATATATATATATATATATATATATATATATATATATATATATATATATATATATATATATATATATATATATATATATATGTAAATAATGTATATATAAAGATTTATATATACATTATATACATATACATTAGGTTTGAAGCAGAGCCAGTTGTTCCATCTTGTTCGAAAAAAGATGGATGGTTATTTTGGCCAATTTGTGTTAATGCAATGAAAGCTACCTATAATAATTTTCCAGTCGTTGATTCCTGCAACAAGATTAGACTTAAAAGAGTTAAAGTAACTAAAGGTCATTAAATTTTATGGTAATTACTGTTATTTTAATTGTTTTATATAAATAAAAAAACTATTATAGTTTTATATTAACAGTGAAGTACTATATCAAATAAACTATTTTATTTTTATTTTGGAATAAGTAATATTTTGAATCTTTTTATGGTATTATTACTGCCTACATATATATTGTAATCTGTTTACACTTATTCTACATTTTTGTTTTTACGTAATTATGTTTATATTAATTTTACTAAATAATAACTAATAGTTAAAGAAGTATGTGCAGAATTTAATTTCACAAAAGGACTCCAAAGAAGAGGACTAAAGAGGACTCCAAAGAAGAATGTTAGTAACTATGTTTGTGAATAATTTTGTTTCTCTTCGGATTTAACTTTTTTTTGTTTTTTATATAGTAAAGAATAAAAAAAAATCTAATATTAACTATTGGTCGAAGCTGATTTCAATTATACTGTCTAAATTTTTTGACTTGTGGTAGTTTGATTACCTGTTTAAATTTATTTTCTATAGTTCTGGTGGATCAAGATTGAGGAATGAATTGGTTTTAACTGGTTTGCATCTTATGAACGAAGTACATAATATGATTTAACTTGATGATTTATAGTTACACCTATTGAAGTAAGTTTTATTTAGTTAATTAATGTATGGATACATGAATATTTTTAGTTACAAAATTTGTATGTATATATATATATATATATATATATATATATATATATATATATATATATATATATATATATATATATATATATATATATATATATATATATATATATATATATATAATTATTATTGCTGTTTTATATATATTATTATTTTATATTATTATTATTATTAGTATTATTGTTATATAATGTATAATAATAATTGTAGGGTTTTTATTTGTCAGCATAGGAATTCCAACAATATTGCAATAGTTTTTTGTAGTAAATAAATAAATTTTGTTGTCTAACAAAAATTAGGGATTTTAAGTCCAGAATTTAAATCCATAAGACACAAAATTTAAATTTATTTTCTATAGTTCTGGTGGATCAAGATTGAGGAATGAATTGGTTTTAACTGGTTTGCATCTTATGAACGAAGTACATAATATGATTTAACTTGATGATTTATAGTTACACCTATTGAAGTAAGTTTTATTTAGTTAATTAATGTATGGATACATGAATATTTTTAGTTACAAAATTTGTATGTATATATATATATATATATATATATATATATATATATATATATATATATATATATATATATATATATATATATATATATATATATATATATAATTATTATTGCTGTTTTATATATATTATTATTTTATATTATTATTATTATTAGTATTATTGTTATATAATGTATAATAATAATTGTAGGGTTTTTATTTGTCAGCATAGGAATTCCAACAATATTGCAATAGTTTTTTGTAGTAAATAAATAAATTTTGTTGTCTAACAAAAATTAGGGATTTTAAGTCCAGAATTTAAATCCATAAGACACAAAATTTAAATTTATTTTCTATAGTTCTGGTGGATCAAGATTGAGGAATGAATTGGTTTTAACTGGTTTGCATCTTATGAACGAAGTACATAATATGATTTAACTTGATGATTTATAGTTACACCTATTGAAGTAAGTTTTATTTAGTTAATTAATGTATGGATACATGAATATTTTTAGTTACAAAATTTGTATGTATATATATATATATATATATATATATATATATATATATATATATATATATATATATATATATATATATATATATATATATATATATATATATATATATATATATATATATATATATAATTATTATTGCTGTTTTATATATATTATTATTTTATATTATTATTATTATTAGTATTATTGTTATATAATGTATAATAATAATTGTAGGGTTTTTATTTGTCAGCATAGGAATTCCAACAATATTGCAATAGTTTTTTGTAGTAAATAAATAAATTTTGTTGTCTAACAAAAATTAGGGATTTTAAGTCCAGAATTTAAATCCATAAGACACAGCAAGCCTTAGGTTATTACAGAAGAGAAATCAGATTTAAAATTTGCTGCTTGTTCTAAGCAATTAAAAAGTGAAGATATATTGTCTAGACAAGATTATAAAGTAGAGTCATCAGCAAATAGAGCCACTTTAGATTTCAATATGATTGTTATTGTAGATAAAATATATTACAGGAACAAATATAGAACCTTAAAGTTACTTGAAATAAAGAGGGTAGGCCTTCAAGAATAACTTCACTTCTGTAGTTAGAAAGAAGTAATTTAATTACCTCAAAACCTTTTCATAGAAAATTGTAAAAAACTAATAACAAAGTGAAGAAGAATCGTAGGATACTTGGAGAGGTCAAAGTGTTTTCTAGATATTTGAAAAACTGGAACCACGTATTTAGCATTTTTTTAAAGTTTAGCAAAAATTGTAGATAGTTCTGGAGAACACTTTTTTGAGACTATGATGGAAATCTTGTTTGAAGCACACATTGTAGAAGTGTTTAACTGAGAATTAGTTTTAGCATTGAAAGCTAGAGTAATTTTGATGTTTAACAATGGATTAATTTAAAGTTTAGCAAAAATATTTTACTGTATGGCTGTTATATTCCAGAGTCAAACTAGAGTAAGATTTCCTTGTAAATAGTTCTGTTTTACTCTGGGGTAAAGTAAAAAGGTGAGACCCATAAGTTAGAGAATAATTGTTAGACTTACTTTAGTTAATAACACTGTTGAAAACTAACCAAAAGTCTCTAGAATCAACATCTTACATAAGATACAAGGTTTAGTAAACTGAGAATAACAGAGATTTACATCATACAAGACTTTATTTATACATTAGCTTATTGCAATAATAAAAAGGACAACTTTTTCTTAAGAAAGATGTTCTTATAAAAAAGCTGAAAAACGTAATTAATGTTGAAAGATGTAGAGTAGATTGAGGCTTGATATAAAACTGAAGAGAAGTAATAAAAGCTTCCAAACTTATATTCCAGAAGCAATAGAAGTTTCCAAGATGCACTTTTTGCACACATATTATGGATATAAACATATCTGTTTGCAATTTGTTCAGATGCTTGCATACAATATCCTTTCATTGTTGTATAAACTTTAGTATTTATATGGTGTAGTATTTGCCGAAAAAGAAAATGATCAGATGGATGTGTGGTGTGACTCAACAAGGTATAAAAAGTAGACATAATCTTAGACAGATTAGAAAAAACGTTTTATCAAACAACCTTTTTTTTAGAAAAAGTTAAAGTAATACAGATATTAATATGTAGAGTGGTAGTAGCTTCAGTATAAATTTGTTGTGGTAGAAGTAAGAAAATTTGAAGAGTGTACCTTACATAGTGCCATAATAAAGATGATGATGATTATCATGATGACGGTCAACAACATCAACATAATTTTTATTATCATTGTCAAGCTTTTTTTTTTATGCTGTTGTTGATAATGATGATGATGATGATGATGATGATGATGATGATGATGATGATGATGATGAAGACGATGATGATGGTGAGGATGATGATGATGATGGTGATAATGATGGTTATGATGAATATGATAATCATGTTGATCACAATTATGTTCATATATGCATATATATACAAAATATAGCATGAATTTTAAATTTTAAAAATAAACTTTAGGATGTAAAAATGTTTATGCAGCCTGGTCTCAAACCCAGCCATGGCCCCGGCTTTATTTTATCAAACCCGGCCCGGGCCCCAGTCAAATATCAACCACAATTGTTTACTACAAAACATTTCAAGAATAAAAAACGTTGTGTAATTTTTAAAAACAGTTACTTATTTTATGCTATTACGACGATCACAATATATATATATATATATATATATATATATATATATATATATATATATATATATATATATATATATATATATATATATATATATATATATATATATATAATATATATATATATATATATATATATATATATATATATATATATAAATATATATATATATATATATATATTTATATATATATATATATATATATATATATATATATATATATATATATATATATATATATATATATATATATATATATATATATATATATATATATAATTATATATATATATATATATATATATATATATATATATATATATATATATATATATATATATATATATATATAATTTATATATATATATATATATATATATATATATATATATATATATATATATATATATATATATATATATATATATATATATATATATATATATATAAATATATATATATATATATATATATATATATATATATATATATATATATATATATATATATATATATATATATATATATATATATATATACAATTTATATATATATTTATTTTTACTTTTTAAATTTAATAATGATCATACTAATTCAATAACATTTTTTAAACATTTGCTTTCAGATTGATAATGATACAAGTTTTATTTTTTGATTTAGATTCTGTATCTCAATGATATCCCGGCTTATCGATACGATATCCCGTGAATCCACTCACACACATAAATTTTACTCACCTGTAAATCCTGTAAATTCACACACACATAAATCTTAAAAAAGGTGTTTATATTTTTATTTATAAATTGTAAATTTTATATAAATAAATGGTATATTTTTTATGTTTTTCATTGTATTTTACTATTTGTATTAAAAATCGACTTTGGAAATATTGCAAGTGCAGAGTTCAACATACAATTTTGTTTTATTTGCAAATTCAATATATATTATAGCCTAGTTTAATCACGTTTAATAATATTTTGTGACATTTTCTCCAGCGCATTTGAGCGTTGATTTAACGTTATATTTCAACCTTTACTCAACATCTTTGAGTCACGTTAAATCGACGTTTTACTACCAACGTTACAAATCCTTGCAAAATCAACTGCTTTAACAACGTTGTAGTAACGCTTTTCAAGTAACGTTTTTCAACGTTAAGTTGCGACACCTATGCAACGCGTTTTAAGTAACGCTTTTTCAACGTTTAGTTGCGACATTTTTGTAACGTCTTTTAGTAACGATTTTTCAACGTTAAGCTACAACGTTTAATCAACGTCTTTTTAACAACGTTACATATCTTTGCAAAATCGAGTACCTTGTCAATGTTTCCGCAACATTTTTTGCGACCGGTTTTCAACGTTGATTCAATGCTGATATGTTTGCTGGGTATGTATAATTCAGTCATGATTTTTACAGGCTTCTAAAACAAAATAAATTTAATGCAAAAAAAATTATTTTGTATTAAAAAGTAGAAGTCCACCATAAAAATTAGAAAATTTTGACTTTTTTTTAGCTCTTTCACAAAACAGGACAGAAGATCATCTTATATAATATTCTATAAGAAGGAAATACAGTATTCTATAATACTGCAACAAATATTAAACGTTCAAAAAATAACCCCTATTTTTAAAAATGTAACTATATTAAAGAAACAATTTTCTAAAAGTCATCTTACCGGTTATTAAAAACAAGTTTCACTTATAAAATGTAAAAAAAAAATATATTACTTTATTTTTAATTGTATCACTAGGAGTGAACAAAACCGAATATCTGGTTTGGTTTGTTGAAATCCAGACTCGATATTAGATTTTTGAATAGTTAAAACTAAACTGCTTCCGGTTCCAATTTTATCGGATATCCAATTTTCGGACTTAAAAAAATCTACACCAGAAAATAAAATTATTTATAAAAATTATGCTAAAATGTTTGAAAGTCAAAGAAAAGAATTTAAAAAACGATATAACTATGATTTACTAGAAAAATACAAACATAATTCAAAACGCACATGGCAAGTTATAAATCAAATTACTGAAAATAGTAAATCAAAATTATGCTCTGTGCCTAGCACTATAAATGTTGAAAGCGTATTTTTATATGAACCCAAAGAAATAGCAAAAGAATTAAATAAATATTTCGTGTCTGTTGGCCAAAGTTTATCTAAAAATATTCCAAATTTGATTCCAATAAATGATTACGCCATTAATCTCTAGTTTAAATAAGTTTGAAGTATCTTCTTCAGAATTTGAAATTGCTTTTAAAATGCTTAAAACTAATAAAGCAGTTGGCCCTGATGATATAAATGGTAATATAGTCATAGATTCATACGATGCAATAAAACATATTCTTTTTAAAGTTTTTAAATGTTCTATAAATCAAGGAATTTTTCCCGATCAATTGAAAATAGCCAAAATAACAAGTATATTTAAAGGAGGTGAACCTTCAAATGTTAGTAATTATCGACCAGTATCTATCCTTTTTGTTTTTTCAAATTTTTTAGAAAGAATTATGTTCAACCAAATATCTAATTATCTTGCTGTTAATAATATTCTTTACTTAAATCAATACGGTTTTAAAAAAAATAACTCTACTGAACATGCAATAATTCATCTTACTCGTTTTCATTCGAAATTTCATTCAAAAAGTATGAGTTTACTTTAGGCGTCTTTATAGACTTTTCTAAGGCTTTTGACAAAATTGACCATAAAATACTGTTTAAAAAACTTGAACATTATGGTATCACCGGTAATGTTTTAAAACTACTAAAAAGGTATTTAAAACATCGCAAACAATTAGTCTATGAAGACGGACCTTCTTCACAAGATTGTTTAAATATAACTTGTGGAGTTCCACAGGGATCTATAATAGGGCCTCTATTAATTCTAATTTATGTTAACGATCTCCATGTAGTCTCAAAATTAACAACTATAATGTTTGCTGATGATACAAACCTATTCCTATATAATAATAACATCAATAAACATTTTTATGATATGAACATTGAACTAAGAAAAATATCAGACTGGTTTAAATCAAATAAACTTTCACTCAACATTGATAAAACTAAATGAATTTTTTTCATCCACGACTTAAAAAACATTTACTTCGAAGTAATATGCCTCTTCTTCATATTGATAATATTCAAATAAAAAGAGAAATTTTCACAAATTTTCTAGGTATCATTATATATTAAAATGCATCATGGAAGAATCACATCGGACATTTATGCAACATGATTGCAAAAAGCATTGGAGTTTTATATAAAGCAAGAAGCGCTTTAAACAATCATTCACTAACACAACTATATTAATCTTTTATACACTGTCATATTAATTATGCTAATATTGCATGGGGTAGTACCCATAAAAATAAATTAAAGCAACTTTATTGTCAGCAAAAGCATATTGCACGTTTTAAGGCCACTCTTATTTAACATGAATGTTTTATATATATCAAGTAAATGTTTATAAGGTTCTTTGCTTTATGTTTAAATGTAAAACCAACTTATCTCCAGCTTCCTTTTTTGATATATATTCTTTAAAAGAAAAAAATAAATAATCTTTAAGAAATGATAATTTTATTAAACAACTAAAATTTCAAACAAGCTTTGGTAAATTTTGCATTTCTTTTCGTGGAGCTTTTTAATGGAATCAAATAATTTTCAAAAATTTTGATTTTTCTCATGAATGGAATTTTTATATGTTTAAAAAAAAAACTAAAAAAAGTAATTTTTTCAAATGAAAATATATTTATATACTTTTAATTATACCCAGTTTTGTCATCATTTATTTGTATTTTACTTTTATACAATATTGATTTAACTTTTATGTGAGAAACTATATTTATACACCATTATTTGAATTTTGTTAAAAGTTGCACTGACATTATTTGTACAGTAGTCTATTATTATTTACACGTTTACTTTAATTTTTATTTTAATTTGTAATATTTGTAATTAATTTGTCTTAAGAACGGTGTATACTTTTAATATTGAATTTATTTTTGTAATAATAAAAAAGTTAAAAATATATTTATGTATATTATTATTATAAAAAAAAAAAAAAAAAAAAAAAAAACGTATTTTATGTGTGATACTTCTAAAAGTTAACCATCCTTTGACAGTGGTTTAGCACTTTTTTCGGAGAAAGCATAAACGTAAAGCACCAACATTTAATAATTTTTGCTTCACACACAGAGACACCATCATTTGGCCTTCTAAACTCTTCCACAGAATCTTTTGGACAATCTTGAAGTGCATTTGGATGTACCTAGTGTAGTCATATTATTATTATTTTCGCTTATTTATTAATTAATAAACATAATTGTAAGATATATTTGAGTAACAAGATTCAGTGATCGTATAGATGCAAGTGAGATGCGAGACGTATTCGTTTATCAAGAATATGATGATATTATTGTTTTCGTTTGAGTCATGCGATTCAGAAGAATTAATATTTTAATTCAAGCCATAAAGACCATAACTAAAGAAAAGTTTAAAATTTCTATTTATTTATTTTTTGTTTTTTCTAAGATCTAAATTAAGTTCAAAGTTCTTCAACAGCGGTTCTCGGTGACAAGACATGTATGGTCTTCTTTAAGTATCCGCGTTCTTTAAATTTATTCTTTATTTTTTAACGGTTTCTTTGCATGCAACTTTTCTTATTGATTTATTTGTAAATATTCTTTAAATATTGTAATAAAGAACAAAAAGAAAAAAAATATATGCAATCTTTTTTCTTCTATCACTTCAAGTTTTAAAGATATTAGGGTTCAAATCCCAATTATTTGGTTAATTTCTTTATTTGATCAAAAAAAACTTCTTTAAAAGTATATCAACATGGATCTCAAAAGATTTTTTACAGAGATTTTAAAAATAATGTTTGTAATAAAGTGAACATTTTTCATTGGTAAAAAACATTTTTTTAGATTATTTTGAATCCTATTAGCATTTTTTCATATTTTTTTATATAAATAAAAACCTTTATGTTTTTTAAAATCTCTGTAAAAATAGTTTTTATTTGACAATATTATGAACCCAAATATTAGGGATTGAACCCTAATATCTTTGAAAATTGACATGATAGAAGAAAAATAATTGCTTATTTAAAATCAGAATGAGGAATACTATTAGAAAACATACTGTATGCAAAATAAAAATAAAATTTTGTTGGCCTGTGATATCAAAACCTTGTAAATTTTTGTTCTTTACAGACAACATTACCAGGAACGTGGTGGCGATCGGAATCTCAAGCTTATGAAGTGAGCAATCTACCACTACAGCACTACCGTATTTATGTTTAAAAAATTATACTATGGTAAGAAATAAATCAAAAGCTCATTGTCATCAAATGGAAATAACAAGATTTTCTTTAGGTCGACAATTTTTAAATTTTGATTACACTGAAAAGTTATTATTTTTTAATTAGTAACTGATATTTGTATTTTTCAATTTTTAAGGCCATTTTAGAATCCTTTTATTTTTTCAGTTTTGATTAAATTATTTGTCGATATCAAATGTATATATATCAAAAAAAGTCAGAAACTACTAAATATAATTAGGCGGGGAAAGTAGGCCTAATAACGTTGGGATAGGAAGAAAATTTTTTTGAAAATCAATAAACGTCATCTCCCATTTATTAGGCACAAGAGTACATAGTTTGCAACTTGCTCAAGATTCTTGTACCTTCGGTTCAAGAATCTTGAGCAAATGAATAGCAAGAACGTTAAACAGTTTTAAAAAACATAGACTCAATAAATAACAAGGCTGTTGATAAAAGATAAAATTGTTTTGTTTGTAATTTTCTCTAAACAATTTGATTAAGTATTACGTGCTATTTATAACGTAGCAAAATATTTAGAAGGCGGTGTGATCATTTACA